CTATCCTTGTCATATAATTTATATATTTACCAATCATTGAAAAATATTAAGGAGCACTTTTCATTTTACATAGTAGATAAGATGCATGCTTCTTCCATGTGGGCTTTGCTGTTTCTCAGTTAGATGGCCACTTGTTTATCTTCAGGCCTTTAAGACCCCAGACTCTATATCTTTTGATAGCTGGGCACCATCAGCTTTATTCACCACATTTGCTTATGCACCCACTTTGTCTTCAAAGATCGTGTAGGGAGAGGCTGGTGTGCTTCTTCCTTGTGGGTTATGTTGTTTCTCAGCTAGATGGCTGCTTGTTTAACTTCAGGCCTTTAAGACCCCAGATACTATCCTTTGATAGCCAGGCACTATCAGCTCTCTTCACCACATTTGCTTGTGCACCTATTGTCTTCAGTAATCATGCCAGGAAGGTTAGTATCTCAGACTTCTGAATTGTTAGAACAAAGTGTTCTTGTGTCGAGGGAGTACTTGAATAGGGGCCCACTGTCCATCTGTTTCCTTAATACTAAACCTATAAATATATGTACGTAGATCTATTTCCCCCTTGTTGTATATAAATATACTTACTGCATATGCCTGTATTAAATCTCTATAAATATCCTTTGCCTCCTAGTTCTTTCCTCTATTTCTTTTTACTTTCCTCTTGTCCCACTATCATTTTCAGACTTCATTTCGGTTTCAGGAATTCCTCTTGGTTACATTGTCCTTGATCCAGCCATGCCAGACCCCTACAGCCTCCTTGCCACTTATTTTGGATCACTTGTTGTTCCTTTGTCACTGGGTTTGTTAACACTTCCTTTCCCCCACCTCCCCCTCTTCCATGTCCCCCTAGAAACTGTCATCCTGTTGTTCTCTCTTCCGGGTTGTTTATCATTCCAATCCCTTTCAGGTAGACATGCAGCAACAACAATATGCACTCACACAAGACTGGGTACAATGAAGCTACAATAGAAAATAAAACAATAGCTACAACAACAACAACAGCAACAAAAAGGCAACAACAGCTACAACAACAAAATAACCCTATACATATTCAAGGTCTATTTGTTGTCCTTTCCAGTCATGTCTGAAGGGGTTTCCATGCCCTGGCCCCACATCTATCCCTGGAATTCCCTGAGGATGTCATTGCTCTGATTCCCCTGCTTTTCTGCTTCATGCCCCCAGGGCCTGGCTTTGGTGTAGTGGGCTCAGGGCGGTCACAATTCTCACCGTGTGTCTCTCGTGTTGTCCCTGTGGTGCTATGGGTCAGTGAGGAGTGTTGTGTCTCTGGTAGAGCTGGCCCTGTGGTCGTCTCCGTGCATTGGCTGCTCTGAGCAGAAATATTATCCTCAGGGCTTGGTGGGCCAGGATGTGCTTCACTCTTTTTCCCCCGCCTCCCCCCTCAGGGGCTCCTATGGCAGGAATCTTGAATGTGCTCCACTGGTGGCTCTTGTACCTTGCTGATCTGGGGGTTCTCTCTGATCTTCCTTAGATCGCTCTCTTATAATAAGGGAAATGGCAACTCAGACTTACCAATCCCCACTGTTAGTTTTTCCACATCCTATTTATGGAGTCCTCACTGATCATGTGGTAGGAGTTAAAGAGACACTGATAGAAGAGCCACGTTTAGAAATTTCATTTCACCACAGTATTATAGGAGAGGATTTCAAAAAGTTTATAGAAATATGGCAGTGATTTTTTTTCATGGAGTTTTGAACACTTTTCATATATAGCTGCTTTCATGCTACAATTGCAGATGTGAGTATTAGAAACAGAGACCAAATGGGCAGAAAAGCTTAAAATATGTACTTTCTGCACTTTTACAGTAAAGTTTGCTGAATCCTGCAATGTCACATGAATCCCCTGTCAAGTCCGTTTGATTTCGACTGTATTTTAAATATGTGACTTTCTCTTTGCTACCTGCCTGTAACACCTGCACACACCCCTATCCTTCTTTTAGTCCCGCTCAACCTTTCACATTTGTTTATTGTTTGTTTCTTGAGTTTACAGAATATCTTCACAAATATACATTTATCTGACTCTTACAAAAAATTTCATGAAATGTGAAATTAGAGGAAACTGACAGTAGTAGGTTGCAGCCCATATAAAAGAAAGGAGAATGACGTTGGAGCTAGAGCAATCTGAGTCAAATGTTCAAAATGCCACTGTGTCATTTTGTGCCTTTTTATACATCCCTTGATTTTTGTGTGTCAGACGTTCACCTATCAAGTGTGGATAAACTACTAAACGTGCTCTAGTGCCAAATGATTATGTAGGTGGCACAAGTTTCCAGAAGTACAAAAAGCTAAAGCTGTATTTGGGATCCAGTGGCAATTTCTATCCATGTACAAATTTATAGTTGAATGTGTGAAACACTGCCTTCGGAAGATAAACTGTTTAAAAATGAGTAGGAAACTATCTTGGAATTTTTATTGCTTAGTTTCCAGACTAAGATGGACTAAGAAGAAATGTCTTGTGACCTACTTCTGAAAATCAGCTTGTGCACTCAGAAGCTCCATAGGCAATAATGGTCTCCAGCAGATCACGTGATGGTGCAGGATCGGGTAGCATTTATTGCATCATGCATGGGGTTGCATCAGTCAGGGGTAACTTGATGGCAGGTAACAACAACAACCAGAACATGGTCCTGGTAAAGCAATTAGAAAGCTGCTTCCCTGCCTGAAAATATCCGTGTCTATAGAGAAATACACACACATAGACACACACACACACAAATGGTGGGGGAGGGCTTCTCAATTTTTGGGGAACAATTTTCGTATCTCTTAATTCAATTTTTCCGTCTTGAAGCCTGATTGTGTGTGTGTGTGTGTGTGTGTGTGTGTGTATGAAGGAGGAACAGGAAGAGGAGGAGCAGGAGGAAAGCAGGCACATGAGAAGGAAGAATATTGTGAGGCCTCAGGTAAATCCATAAGTGGCCTTTACTTAGTGAGTTTCAAATTGGTTTGCAGGCAAGACCCTCCAAAGCTTTCAGCTTTATTTCTTCTGTGCATTGTTTCTTTAAGAATGCGGCCAGATAGAAGAGCTGGCTCTTACAGACTTGCTCCCCCAACCTCTTGTTTTTCCTCTCTTTTCTTTCTTTCTTTCTTTCTTTCTTTTTTTTTTGACCCAACTACCTCCCTGTCAGCCTTTGGCTCCTTCTAACTCCCACATCATGTTTTGAAATTGCATATTTCAATCACTTCTATGTGCTAAGCGAAACTGTAATGAGTGTCTGGAAGGTTTGCACAAGGTTATTAAAAGTTTCTTAATTTTTCACCAACTTCTCTTTTAATATTGTTTGTAGATTTCCTAAAGCACAGGAATAAATTCCCTTGACACTCTTACTCATTAACTTGGAAAGTATGGCAGAAAATCAAAGGTACAAGGCTGAGCGTGTATATGGCCCCTTTTAATAACCTCATGACTGTAGCATTGCAAAGATAAGCTATCAGTGCTGTTGATCAAAAAGACAAGAATGGGCAGCTACAGTGGCACACACATCATTATGCAAATAGTGGTTTTTAAAGCACTGCCTCTCAATTCATTTTCTGATAGTATAATTTAACGGGGGAGTATTTTAATGTTAAAAAAGATAGAGGAAGTGAAAACTACAGAATATCTCTATAAGAGAGACTTAACAGTGACAGTAGGCATCTCTGGATGTCTCAAATGGCGAAGCACTCCACAGCTAGCAGAAAGGCTCCTTAGACCGCAGGCCTGGTACTCAGCTTCTAAAGCTGACAGACTTGGAAGCCCTGTGGACCATTCCACGCCGACCAGAGGGCTTCCATGAAGCAGAATTGACTCGAGGGTGACTAACAACAGCAACAGGGGTGACAGTGGAATCAGGGGTGATGGAAGAATCATCTTCAAGTAGGATTTGTATCGCAAGTACATCATCTTTATTTAGGTGGCTCCTATTACGTGGGGAAAAAATAGGGAGTGGTGAATTTGAAGGAATAAGAGCAACATTTCCTTTTAAATTCTACCACTTAATTTTTAGTGAATACTTGGACAAGTCATTTAATTTCCTTGGTGTCCAATATCCCCATTTGTAAATTGAAAAGAGCAGCACCCCAAATATAAAGATCATTCTTCTTTCTTTGCACATAAAAAAAAACACCTTTAAAATAACTTAGTCCTTTTAAAAAGAAGCCAAACTATTATCCTTACGTTACTGGTCCTAGTTGCTTTTGAGCCGAGTCTTCTTCATGGAGGTCTCGTAAGAGCCAGTGTAAAATTTAACTTCATATGGCTTTTTTCCCCTCGGTGGTTGAGTTTTTGGAAGTAGCTGTCCAGGCCTTTCTTCCAAAGGTCCTCAGGGTGGATTGGAACCTTTCACCTCCATCCTTTCAATGTACACACGAGCACGTTCAGCCTCTGTACCAGCACAGGCAAGGAAACGGTCAGTTTATCTTTTGTGCCCAACATTATAATAATCAGTGAATGCTGGACTTTAGACACAACTCCCAGGCTTTTAAAAGAGGATTGCAGTGAGGGTCTGATGAAATCTCTTCAACTGTGTCCAGCCTGAAATGGCCCAGCTATTGTCCCCTTTCCAAAAGTACCCTCCCAGGGCTGTGCCTGGAATGTAAAAAGAGCGGGTCTATAAAAGAAGCGTGCTGTAAACACGTTCATATTTGGGAGAGTGAGGGAAGGGAGGTCTGGGTGTTCTTTTAAATGTGTAACTAATAAAGAATAAACAGAACATGTCCTTTGGGTTTGTTTAGTTTTTGAATCATTCCAGGGCAATTTGCAGTAAAAACCGCTTTCATTTTTAACTGATCAAAGCAGTGCATGATCCAATCAGGTCAATGGCTGCAACAAGCCAGAACAATGCAAACATGCCTAAGCTCCCTGTTTACCAAAGATGTCCGCAGAAGATAATCATGTGCACGTCCCAGGATAGTTAAAGAAAAACACACATACAGAGGAAGCCAGTTCCAAGACAACTCTGAGGCAGGCGAACATTTGAAACGTTGCAATTGTAATGTATCGCCCTGGTTTTCATTATAATTGGGGAGGAAGCTGGTGAAATTTATTGTTCTTTTTCTCCTCTGGAATTTCTCTTCCTTTCCCCTAAAGGGCAGTTTACTGCTGAGGAACCTAATTTTCTTTGAGTCATAGAGGACTTGCTTTGGCCCTCAGAGGAAACTCCTGCACATTAACAGAATGTTCTGGCTCCTCATGTGTCCATTTGGATGTCAGCAGGTCAATAGAACTCAGTCAGAAGGGTAAGCAAGCCACAAAGAGCTTCGCTCTTGGCATTTTTATTTCAGTCACACCAAACTCATTGGTTGCTGCAGCCAAACAGAGATAATAGCTGCAGTGTTTGTGCTTGCTGAGTACAAACAGTGATGTCCTAGTGCAGGCACAAGGTAAAGTTAACTTTCAGGAGGCTCGATTACTCAGAACCTTCAATCACGTGCTTCCAAAGCATTTGCATTTTTGTATTCTCACCTGTCTCTTTTTAAAGCAACTCTAATTCATAGAGAGCCTACAGTCATGGGAAGTTTAGACCTGAGAGGGTATTAGGATTGCTAGGAAAACGGATGTATCAAGCCAGAGTCACGGCTAATATAATGGGGCCTTGATGAGTGGTTACTATTATCATTACATTCTACTGCAGCCTTTTCTCCATCATCTGTCAGCTTGCCTGTGGTGGCTCCTGCGGTACTGTGATGCTTGAAGGGGTGACACTGGTATTTCACATCCCAACAGGGTCACCCACGGTGGAGAGTTAAGCAGAGCTTTCAGACTAAGGCAGATTGTGAAGAAAGGCCTGGTGATCTATTTCCTGAAAGTAACCAAGACAGCCTTAGGGATGACAACTGAGCCTTGTTTGACTCCCTTGCTTTGGACTTGTCATCACACTCAAACTAATTGTCACCCGGCCCTCTAGGACAAGGCAGAGCTGTCCCTGTGAGTTTCTGAGACGATAACTTGTTAGGGGAGTAGAAAGCCCTTGCTTCCGAGGAGTGGCTGGTGGTTTTGAACTGTTGACCTTGGAGGTGGCAGCCCAGTGGGTCAATCACTAGAGGAGGACACTGTGTTTCTATTGATGTTGAGGGCCAGTGAGGGCAATGGGGACCCTTGTTGAGGTTGGATGTTGCACGAGCTGAAATGGTGGCCTGGAGCAGGCCAGGGGTCACAAGGACCAATGTTCAATCTGTCACTATGATGCCACCGTGGGATCAGTGCTGCTTTGGTTTTTACAATCGAACTATCGGGGTCTGTGTCTTTTAAGTGAGAACTAACTCTTTTGTCAGCTTTCCTATAGACCTTTTGTTTTAAAATTATTTTCTATATACACCATCAAGGATTCACTTTATGAAGGAAGTTCCTGGGATCGAGGTGTAAGGGAACCTCTTGGGGATGGTTAGCATTTGACCCTGGTGAAACCTTGTCAGCCATGTCTCCAACAAAGAATTGCTTGAGAGGCAGGTGAACCGAGAAGTGAGGGCCCCTGCTGCCTCCGATGAGCTGTTGAACCCGTCTCAGAAGGCTCCTCTGTCAAATGAAGACCCTGTCGCAGGACTGGTGGGAGGAATGAGGAGCTCACATTCAGCATGAGCTGAGGCTAATCAATGGCAGCTGCTACGGCTATTAGTCTTGCTGTTGTTTTAAATAGTTCCATTGCACCTTCTTGTTAAAGTGGGTCTCTCCAAGGATTTTGCTAACCAAATACCACCTCTTCATGACACTTGTTCACCACATCAGCTCACCCCCAGTGTCAGAGTCCCCAGTTCCCAGTCAGAAATGTTTTTAAAATGTGACCAAAGCAAACAGACACCTTCAATCAAAACCAGAATTTGAATATATGAGGTAATGGGCAGTGTGTAAAAAGTAAATATATAGAATTGAGAGAAGTTATTTTATTAAGGGTGAAGTTGAGAAGGTGAATCTAGAGTTATTTCCTTATTACAGAAGAGTCTTTATGCTGCAAAGTTGTTGTTGTTCCTTGCCCACCCCCCAGTGGTTGGTGACGCTGGTGGAATTTATTTAACGGATCCACGCTTTAGGCACAGCTAGATTTGGAGGATCAAGCAACACTACTGGGAACTTTGTGTTTCTGTATCCCTCAGCGTTTTTCTTCTTTTTCTCCTATGTAGAGTTCTTCTTTTCAAGTCTGCTCATGGTGGCAGCTCAAGGGAGCACACCCATAGCTGCAAAATAAAACCAAGCCAAGCTAGTTGCTGTCAGTCCATTCCCATTGCTGATGCACTGTGTGTTATAGCGTAGAACTCAGTTCCATAGGGTTCTCTTGGCTGTAATCTTACAGAAACAGCTCACTAGGACTTCCGTTTGCAGTTCTGCAGGGTGAGTTTAAACCATCAACCTTCATGTTAGTTAGTAGTTCAGCACAAACCATTTGTCCAAAACCGGATCAGTCCCACAACAAAATGAAAGTATCTCTCTCTGATTGGGGACTATGCCCATTGCTGAATCATTCTCTAAGGTCCAAGGAGGTAAGACTGTCGTTGCCCAGTTCTGTGTCTCGTCTACTTCTGGGGCCAAGTTTGAAGTTGACTCCCATAGACCAAGAGTACAAGAGGAGCGGCATCCCCAGGAACACATTGGTCTTCATGTAATAAGACAGATAAAATTAACACAAGTCCAGGCTTGTGTTTGAGCTGGAGCAGGTAGACTAGTGGATATGTTCTAGGTAGATAAAGTGATTTGTTTTGTCTCTCTTTCTTCTGTTGTTAAGTAAAGATGTCCTTCAAGTTAACTGTCTCAGCAGGATCTTTAACTTCTTTAAGTCGTTCATCATTTACTGGTCTAACTATAAATTCAACTGCTTGTTGATATAGTACATGCCCATTGTCTGAATTACTCTATAATTTTGATGAAACAGGAATTTGAGGAACACATCCTACTAGGCTCATGTGAAGAGAAAGAGCTTTAGCTAGTCAGTTAATCCAGCTAACCCCTAATTATTCATACCTCATTTTGTCTCCTTTTCATTATACTTTAAAAAGTTTGTGGAAAAAAATGGAACTGAAAGATAATGAAATTTTCCCATGAACATTTTGAAGCCCTCTCTAATATAGCTTTGGAACTTGAGGGACAAAAGTCAATCAAAGTGACTTTTGCTGACTGCAATGGTTAGATTTTGTGCCAACTTTCCCACATCCATAAAAGATACTGGTGGAGTTCAACCTATCAATCAGGTTACAGCCTAATGATGTCTTCTTGGGGACATTGCACTTTAATAAGAACTGACCTCTCTCTTGCTCCTCATCTTTTCCCTGCTGGTTTCTGGGGCTGGCAACTTCCTGCTTTGCCTTCCTGTTTCATTGACTGGCCGCTCTGTGAATCTGGAGGATCCTCTGCCTAGTGTCTCACCCAGGGACGACAGCTGGTTTGGGCTGGGCTACATCATTGAAAAAAATTTATTTTTTGATATAGAGTCTTTCTTAGACATATATGAATGTCACGGTTCAGTTTCTCTAGAAAGTCCAGCCAAAGTCTAGAATGAATGGAGAGAGAGCTACCAGAACCACACATATGGGAACCAAAAGATCAACTTACTTACTGGTGCTATACAGGAGTGCAGTTGTAAGAGCTTGTCATAACTCATCTGGTTTGAATTTAGATCTTAAAACTTTAGGTCTTTTCTGTGTGTGGCATGTCCTGACCCACTAAACATACCCTATAGAAAAGAGCAAGCAGATGGGAAATATGTGCTTTCTGTAGGCAGGTAAACTGCAAAGAGAAAAAGGGCGAGGAACTGAGATAATACTCAACACTTCGGAACTTACCATTGCTCGAGTTCTCTTTAGAGCAGAGTTTCTCAACCCAGCACTATTGACACTTGGGCCTGCACATTTCTTTGTTATTGGGGGCTGTCTTGTTCATTGCTGGCTGTCCAGGAACATCCTTGGCCCGACGTCTCCACACACTGCCACGTGTCCTGTAGGAGGCAACGTCACACCTGTCTGAGAACCATTCCCCTAGAGTAAAAGGTAGAGGATGAAAGTGTGGTGTTCTACCCTGTTACCCCAAAAGTAAGACACCCCCCCAATAAGACCTACTTAGCAGTTTTGCCTCTCGCTGAAATATGAGGCATCTCCCTGAAAATAAGACCTCCCTGAAAATAAGGCCCCCCCAAAGCTACAGTAACTCTGGACTCTGGACCATAGAGGCGGGTGCCACCATGCAGCTCACTGTTGGCTACAGCACAGCCTGAGCAGACAGGAAGTGCGAGGTCTCTTTTAATAAAATATTAAACGATAAATGTGTACCGTATTCTTCTTCATGGAAATATAAGACATCCCCTGAAAATAAGACCTAGTGCATCTTTGGGAGCAAAAATGAATATAAAACACTGTCTTATTTTCGGGGAAACAGGGTATTA